TATTTTGTCAAATGTGTAGTGTTTGCCCACTGTGTGTTAAGAATAATATTAGGAACTGGGGAGAAAAATAGAAGTTGTGTTCCTTAATCCTCAAGGAAGTAGTCCGGTGTTTGCTAGATTTAAGTACATTATGTTTCCTACAGGGTTTTTATCATAAAGATGTACCTCTTTACCGTAATATGCGCATGTTAAATTCACTCACTTATATTTAAAAAAAAAAAAGAACTCTCACCAATATTAACTTTAAAAGTTTTTAAAAAAAGAAGGTAATCATTAGAAAATATTTTGGGGGCAGCAGATGGCATGGTGGTTAAGGTGGACTTCAACACACCATGATTCAAGACCTGGACCTGGCGCTTGCTTTCTCAATTTCTCTCTCTCTCTCTTTTGTATGTCTGTCACTGGTGAGTGTGCATGTTCTATAGCAAGTTAAAATAAATTAAATAATTCTTTAAAAAGGAAAAAAATTAAAACATGTAACTTTAGACAATTTTATCTACAAATGTTCTAAGGCTGAGGTGTGCTCTTTATGAAAGGGAAGTTAGCCACCCAATAGAGAGATGTTAAAGACATACTGGCACTAAACTAAAACTTTCTCTCTACTGTGACGTAAAATATTAAAAAGGGAATAACACTCATACTATACAATTCCATATTCAATGCTGTGTCAGCGTGACACATAAAACTATAGTAACACCACTGGTATGTATCTTAAATTTTGGAAGATAGTTTTGCTAGAGATACACACAGATGTAGACAAATCATTATAATACAATTTCATTAATGCTACATATAGGTATTTCAGAGTATTATGGAAAACAGAAAGGAAACAGATTAGTTCTCTGTGATGGAGGGAGACCTGGAGTTATTTTAAAGGGTATCAATGCTTGAGGTATGTATTAAAGGATGAGTGTAAATTCACTTAGGGACAGAGCAGGACAATTAGGCGGAGTAAACTAGATGAGCTTGTGTGGTTGGTGGTGGGAGCAGCGTGGTGTTGTTGGACTAGGCAAGGAAGAGGAATGCTAACGAGGTTGGAATGGAGATCTGCAGCCCAGTTTTGGGAGGCTGTGCATGTATATGATGCCAAGGAGATTTAGCTTTATTCTTTCGGAAATGGAGCTCCATCAAAAGTTTTTAAGCAGCAGATGAAGAAGACCAGGTCTGTGTTTTATAAGGATGATTCTGATAGAATAAGGCAGATGAATTGGAGGGAGTAGAAGAGATTGGTACAAGCAAATCAGTTAAAAGCTCTTGCTTGTTATATATATATATATATATATATATGTGTGTGTGTGTGTGTGTGTGTGTGTGTATATATATATATGTAAAAATATAATTTTTTAATGTGCTGTAGGGCATGTGACTCATGGGAAAGAGAGAGAAGGAGAGAGAGGGGGAAAATGAAAAAGCATCACCCAAGGAGCCTGACCATACTGTAATCTCTTTACCTCCATTTTCCTCTTGGGATTTTAGGCATCCACACACACATGCCTGGTATGTTCTTCAAGCCTCCAGGTCTAGTACTCAAATCGCATAGTCAGCCATATGGGATCCAACTGCCTTAGCACTATGCCACCTGGCTGGCTCTGTGATTCAAAAACACCTTTAAATAGTATTTCTGCCCAGCTGCTTTACTGGTAACACAAGTCCACTGCAAGCCATATACCCAGCAGCAGGTTTGGATCCCTGAGTAAGCCTGGGAAAATGTGACAATTGTGCAGGTGTTCACAACCCTGAGGTGATGGTGTGTGTGTGTGTGTGTGTGTGTGTGTGTGTGTGTGTATAGTGGGGGGAGTCATGGCTTGGTGGGACCCTGTTGAGTCTTTTTCTCTCTCTTGCTCACACATGTGAACACACACACTGTAAATGATAAATAAGTAAATTCTTAACTTTGTCCACTGAGAAGGCTTAGAAAAAGTGACCTGCCCAGTAGCATCTGGCATGCCTTAGATACCAGACTATATTCCCTAGATAACATTTCTTAAGAAGAACCCCAGCTCGTGTGTCACACTGGCTAAAGTCTCTTTACAATCTAAATGATGTATAGTGATTAAATGTATAAATTAATAATGAAAATTAATTAAAAATTATTTAAAAAAGAACCCAAGCTTGTTGGAAGAATGAATGATTCCAGGTCTGGCACAGGAAATATACAGAATTAGCTTAGAATATTTGTCCTATTGGAAGGAAGCTGTCAAAAGCTTTTGGGGTCATATTAAAAAGATTCCAGCAGCCAGCAGGTGGCATGGAGGTTAAGTGCTGGATCTTACAAGGCTGGATCCCACAGTTGAGTCCCCACCCGATGGCTTGAGAATCATGCCAGACACATGGGTGCACTGCCCAAAACCCTGAGAAGAGAGTGGAAGAGGAGGGATTGTGGCGTGACCATCTTCCCTGGGGAGTGATTACTCAATTTCCTTCTGTCTGTCTTTCTCTGTCTCTCTCTGATGAGCGCATGTGCCCTGCAACAAAAACTGAACGGGAAAAAAAAAGATTCCCAAAACAACACTGACTAAAGATGGGACAATTTGAGGATCATGAAAAATAATAACTTCAGTGAATTAAAACATATCAGATGGCAAGGCAGCTAGATCCCACATGGCTGAATTAGCAGTTTGAGTTCCAGACCCCATGGCTTAAAAAACTCCGGCATATATGTGTATGTGTCCAGAATCCTGAGGGAATGAAGGAGCAGGGACTGTGGTTGGCCATCCTTCCCAGGAGGGCTTTTCCACTTTCTTTCCAGCAAGTGCACATGCCCTATAGTAAACTGAAAATCAAAAAAAAAAAAAAAGAGAAAAAAAAGAAGGGTCACTAGTCAATTATGGCAGTGTACTTTTTGAAATTATTGTTTATTTTTTAGTTGTAGAAAGCTCATGTGCTCACCACAGAGAGACAAGGAGACAGAGAGAGGGGGGTAGAGAGTGAAAGAGAGTAAGAGAAGGAGAAGGTACTACCCAATGATACTACAATCCCTTCTCCATTTCTCCATTCTATTGGGATTTTGGGCACACAGACACACGTTTGATTTGTTTTTCATATCGCTAGAGTTGGGACTTGAACCATGATCAGCCATAGGGCCAGCCACTAGGTCATAGGGCCAGCCTGGCAGTACCTTTAAAAAATTGAAACTGTCTTTTCTCTTGACTAATCCACTGATAACCTGCTTAGGTGGCCTTTGGGGAATGATTACAGGTGTAACTGGAGAGGTCTCAAAAGTTTGTTATGAGCTGGTGGAGACATGGTTACTAGGCAAAACTTTGTGTTAGTTTTCAAATGCACTGAAGAGGTTTAAACCACTAGGGAATCTGCTTCAGGCTGGTCCTTTGGAAGCCACAAGGGAGAGTGGTGGAGCTATGGTGGAATGACAGGACTCCACCCCCTACCCCCAGCCTCCAACTAGAGTCAGTGGTGTCTGAATGTATCCCCCACCTTTTGGCAGGTCTCATAGTTGTTCAGTCTTGTCTAATTAACTAGAAACTGACTGTAGTGAAATGGAAAATGCTACTTTCATAGACACTGGCTGTACTAATTAAAGAGTAATGTCACTCCCTTGGTTAGCTGGCTCTGTTCAAAAGGAGAATGCAGGAGGCCGGGTGGTACAGAATGGTGAAACATGATGCTCTGTGAGGCTGACACGTGTGTGTGTGTGTGTGTGTGTGTGTGTGTGTTTGTGGAGGAGGGAGGTTTCCAGGTTCATAGCTGGAGAACTTCTTGAATAAACAAGTGTTTCAAAATGTCTTACTGACCAAGACACAGCCTTAACAACTGAGTCATGTTTAGCTCTATTGATTCAGTGCAATTTATTTCTAACTAGTTAACACCTATTTTTTTTTTTTTGAGAGGTTTTTGCTATAGGGAGCGTGCACTTGCCAGAAAGAGAGAGACAGAGAGACAGAAAGTGAGAAATCACCCCCTAGTGGGGAGGGCCATGCCACAATCCCTTCTCCATTCTCCTCTCGGGATCTTGTGCACACTTGCACACGTGCCCAGTGTGATTTTAAGCTACCAGGTCTGGGACTCGAACCGTGGTCTAGGAGTCCAGCAACATAGCCATTATGCCAACTGCTGGTCCCATCACCCATGTATTTTTTAACATATATATCTGCATACTTTAATTTATAAAATCATTTTTAAAAAATAGTCTATATTAATAGTTTCTTGGACTAGCCAGTTTCATGGTGGTTAAGGCAGCTAGATCCCACATGGCCAACTATACAGTTAAAGTCCTGGACCCAACAGCCTGAAAAATATGCTGGATGTGTATGTATGCATGCCCAAAATCCCAAGAGGAGAAGTGAAGGAGAAAGGATTGTGGTGTGGTCATCCACTCTGGGGAATGCTTTTCACTTTTTCTCTGTCTAGTGAGCTCATGGATCCCTATAGCCAAAAAGAAAAAAAAAAGTCTATAATTTCTTTTTTCTTTTAATTTGCCAAAGGGTGTATGTGAGAGAGAGAGAGAGAGAGAGAGAGAGAGAGAGAGAGAAAGCTTCCCATAATGGAAGCATGACCACACCACAATCCCTTCTGTATTCTTCCTTCTGTTGGTATTTGGGACACATACACACACGGGCCCAGAGTATTTTTAAAGTCACCCTGGCTGGCAATTGAATGACGATCAGTTACATGGGATCTGGCTCCCTTCACCACTAAGCTACAGGGTTGGCCCAAGTTGATTTTTTAAATGAAGCAATTGCCTTTGTTTGTGTTGTATTAACCGAGACTGGATGATTTATAAACAAAAGTTTAACTGGCTTACGATTCCGGTGGCTGGAAAGTCCAAGAGTATGGGGCCAGCATTTGGCCTAACGTGGCTGAGAGAAGTGGAAAGGCCCGTGGGTGTGTATAAAGACAGTGTGGCAGACTGGGCTTGCTGTATTATACCCCCCTATTGTGGGAACTGATACAGTAGTGATGTCCTCTTTCCCAGGAGATGACATTAATTTATTAATAAGGGATCCACCCCACCCCAGGTAACTCCCATGGGCTCTATCTACCTCTCAGCATTGGTGTATTGGTGTCGAGTTTCAGCCTAAGTTTTGGAGTTTTGGTGAGGACACTCAAACCATAGCAGAGATGTAATTCTTTTGCATATGTAGGTCCTGAATCTACTGAAGCTTTACTAATAATTGTGGTTTTGGATACCATATCAACCAAAGTTAACTAACAAGCCCTTATGGAGTTTTTTCATTGATTTAAAAATGTAGAATGAAACAAATGGAAAATTTTTTTGAGAGAGAGCTTTTTGGTATAGGATGTGTGCACTCGCCAGAGAGACAGAGAGACAGTGATAAATCACACTCCCAAGGAGAATGACCACACCTCAATCCTTTTTCCTCCATTCTCCTCTCAGCACCTTGGGCATGCACGCACACGCGCTGGCATGATCTTTAAGCTGCCAGGTCTGGGATTCGAACTGTGGTTGACAACATAGGAGTCCAGTGACATAACCATTATGGCATATGCCATCTGCTGGTCCCACAAATGGGGATTAGTACTCAAAATTTTTAAAGAAGCATAAACACTTCATAGAAAGAATTTTGGGGTTGGCCTTAGGGCTTAGTAGTTAAAGGAGTCAGATCTCACATGGCTGACTAAGGTTTGAGTCCCTGCCCTGGTGACTTGAAAAACATGCCAGACATGTGTACATGTGTGCCCAAAATCCCCAACAGTAGAGAAGAGGAGGAAAAGTGATTGCATTGTAACCATAACCTATTAGGAGGTGCTTTCTCTCTCTCACTCTGGCTAGTGCATACTCTGACACTTAAAAAAAAAAAATTGGAGTTTGGAACTGGAACCTAACTTCAAGTCTGTGAAGTTTGTTTATTTCACAGCCTTAGGTATTTGAAGATCAAATTCTGTTGGATTAGCAGCTACGATGGATGATCCTATTAAGCAGTGCTGAAGCTCAGGTTTAATATGATCTTTCATAAAACTAATTTAGCCATTAATGGAAACAAATAGGTTAGTAATGAATTAGCACTTTTGGCTTTTCTTTATATGTGTTTAGTTTGTTTTCTTAGACTTCACTTTCAATGTGTAAACCCTAAGCTAAAAACGTATATTATCTCTTTTTATTATGCTTATTGAAGACCTAATTTTTAAAATAAAAAAAATTATACCAGACTGTAGCAATGTAAAAATGTCATAGTGTAAGAATACAATTACTACCATAACAGCCAACAGCTAAATCTTAGCCATTACGAGTTAAGCTAGGAACTATCCCTACAGTTGATTATCATTCCTCATCCCCTTATAGCCTGCAGATCACGTGCTCTCAGAGAAATGGAGACATTTGAAGACTTTGAGTGTTTTTGTTTTTGTTTTTGTTTTTTAAAGAGACCATAGGGTGAGTGCACTCACCAGAGAGAAAGTGAGAAATAACCCACTAGGGGTTGGGTATGGCCATGCCGCACCTCTATTTTCCCCTCGGGATTTTAGGTATACCCACGCACATGCTGGCATGAATTTTAAGCTGCTGGGTCTGTGACTTGAACTGCAGTCAACTACATGGGAGTCCAGCAACATAACCATTACGCCATCTTTTTGGTCTCATTCAGTCTTTGAGATTTTTGCTGGCACTTCTCTGTAGAATCATCTAGCATTGCTCCAGTTTCAATTTAATCAATTGTCATAGGCTTATTTTGTGTCATATTTACAACAATAAATATTTTAAATTGGGGCCAGATGGTGGTGAAATGAAACACGGTGCTTTTTTTTTTTTTTTTTTTTTTTTTTGTTTTTTTTTTTTATGTGCTGTGTGCTCACCAGACAGAGAAAGACAGAGAAGCAGAAGCAAGAAATCACTCCCCAGTGGGGATGGCTATACAGCAATCTCTTCTCCTCCATTCTCCTCTTGGGATTTTGGGCATGAATGCACATGCACCTGGCTTGAGTCTCAAGCGTCTAGGTCCGGGACTTGAACTGTGATTAGCCATGTGGGAGACCAATGGCACAACCAATACGCCATCTGCTGGTCCTGAAATGTGATGCTTTGTGGGTCAATTCCACATGGGATTTCAAGTCCAGAAACCTCCTGAAGTATGCCAGGTACATACATGCCCACGATCCACGGTTGGCTAAAAGCTGGAGGTGGATAGTGTTCAAACCCTGTTGGGGGTATTGTTTCTCTCTCTCTGTCTCATAGAAGAAATAAATAAAATAAACTTAGCCCAGTAGGCTGGTGGTTAAGGGAGCCAGATCCCACGTGGCCAACCTTTGTTTGAACCCTGGCTCTGGTGGCTCAAAAACACAGGGCAAATATGTGTGCTTGCCCTGCATTCTGACAGGGTGGGTGAATGGAAGAGAACGGACTGTGGTTTTAGACATGTCCCATTGAGGGGTGTTTTTTCCCCCACTCTCTCTTTCTGTATCTCTCTCTAGGTGCATATGCCCTCTGGCAATTAAAAAAAAGAAACTTAAGAAAACATTTACGGACTGGCAGGTGGCTTGATGGTTAAGGACGCTGGTCTCCCACATGGCCGATGGTGGTTCGAGTCCCGGGTCTGGCAGGTTGCTTTCTCACTTTCTTGCTCTCTCTCTTTCACTCTCTCCCTCTCTGGTCAAATAAATAAATAAATAGATAAATAAAGTTAAGTAAAATTAATCTTAAAAAGAAAAAAGCCTATAATGCACATGCGAACACAGGCTTTAATTATCAATGGCTGTTAAATCACTAGGTAAAAGGCTAAAAAAAAATTTTTTTTAATGTTCACTAGTAAGAAGGATTACATTGGCTTATCTATCTTTTCTGATTAGTCAGAAGATTCCAATAATTTCTCTTTCATTTTTTTGGTCTCTCACTTTGTAGCAAAGGCAGAATCGGAAAAGTACTTCATATGGAAGACAGTCAAGAGTGTTGTATTTGTATTTTCCTAATGCATTTCATTAGAAATTTCTACTTTGTTCTTTGCTGTTGTCCCTCTAATTGCCAGATGTTTTATTTATATATTTTTAGACTACACATATTTTTATTATTAACAGTTCTTCTTACCACATCCTTGATAAAATTTTCTTTCCATACAACACCTTAAAGATTTTAAGCACCATGTGGCTATCTATGCTATCCATTTCTGCTAGCAACTTTGAACTATGTCCTGCTAGCAACTTTGAACTATGTAATATGAAATGACGGGGTTGTTTGAGAAATAAATCCTTTATGAAGGTAATTATTAGCTTAGCTGCAGTGGTGCAAACAGTGAAGCTCAGTAAAAGTCATCATTAACTAGGTACTGTTAACTTGTAGTCATTAACTTGGTATACACATGGCCAAAGTGCACACACTGCTTGAGAGATCAGTGCAGGAATCTCTTAAAGTCTCTCAAGCACTGTACAGGGCCCTAGAGGTCAGATCAATGGGGACGGGGAGAGCCTACTCTTTCTCCAGACACCTTACAGAGCTGTAACCTTAGGAGAGAGGTTTTCTTGTCTACCACAAGCTGGGCTACACCTTTGCAATGTTGTTGTGTATAGGCCCTGGGGAATCAGGGCAAAGGAGACGCCTGTCCTCTGAGAGAACCTCCTGTCCTCATTTCCAGGAATGGCTGTGGACAGCAGAGCAGCTATCTCACTGCCAAAGGGAGTGAAGCCAAAGGGAGCTTCGAGTCACTGAGTACCAGAACATTCAGGGCTTTAAAATAGCTGCCTTTGCTTTGCAGGCCACTTGGAAAAATCAACACAGAACCTGAAACAAGTTGTAATAGGACATTACCCAACAGAAGCATGGATCTGCCAGGCATGATTGCTCATTCTCTTCATTTCGTTTTCCATGCTTACCTCCCCAGCTTAAAATTTTCCCTGGATGGTTTAAAACTCCTCCAAGTTTAGCCATTACACATAGAAGAATGTACAGATGCACATTCTTTAGTGCCCCTGCTAGTCTGCTCTTGGATGCCACATGCACCTGTTCCCCACACACCTGATGCATGGCCATCAGCTTGCCCCTCATTCTCCTTTCACTCCTATTTTGTTTAATGACTTACCAACCTCCTAGCTGTTACTACTAGACACCTCTGTTATTGTTCCTCTTTTTATCCACAGCACCCTTCTCTCTCAAACACAGACATTCAATCAGATATCGAGTCTGTCCACTTCTATCTATAGAATGTTTCTGGAATCCTCAGACTTCGTTGGAACCTATCAACCTGTGTCAGACCGAAAGCTCTGTTTACTATTCATCCTCCACATAGTCATCAATTGTTCTTGTAGAACAAAATTCCATTCTTAACTTTCTTCTGCTTAATTACATTAAATAGTTTACTAATTTAATAAAGGGCTTTTTTCTTTTCTTATGTTTTAGATTTTTCTCATAGGGCACAGGTACTAACTTACTAACTGGAGAAAAACAGAGAGAGGGAAAGTGAGAAATGACCCTAGGGGGTGGGGTGGTGGTGGCCATGTTGCAATCCCTTCTCCTCCATTCTCCTCTCAGGATTTTGGGCATCCATGCACATGTACCTGGCATGATTTTCAAGGTGCCAGGTTCCGAACTTGAACTGTGTTCATCTATGTGGGAGTTCAGCACTTTAACCACCATACCACTTGCAGGTTCCAAAAAGATTTTTTTTTTTTTAAGTTTATTTATTCATGAGAGAGAACAAGCATGTGTGCAAGAGAACTTTGACAGAGTCTTATTATGCCAGATTTCCCTTCTCCCAGCCCTCCAGCTTGTCAGGATCTTAGGCTCTGTGTTGCCTGGTGTGCTCCAGGGCAACCAGCAATACAAACTCTGATTGGTCACATGGCTTCCAGCACTGCAGTTCGGCTTTCTATCACCTGTGCCACCAAGCCTGGGTCAAGGGATAGAGTTTTAATTCCCTAGCAGTGTGTATAGCTCCTCTGTGTTCCTTCACTGCTGACCAAAAGTCACCTTCCACTGACCTACTCTCTTAGTGCTCTGCTTTCTGCCATTTGACAACCACTAGTTCCAACCCTTTAGCACAGATTGATTTCTTCATGTGCTGTCTAGTGCAAAATACATGTGTATTTCAGCTAGAGAGCTTTCTAAACGACCAATATACTAGAGTGTCACTGCATTTTGCTTATTCTGCATGCTGGCAGTGGCAGCCCCTAAATCACACATTGGCTAGCATTTCATTCTGGAGCAAATTGTTTAGGTTTTATTATTATTAATTATTATTATTATTATT